TAGGTTCTATAGTGACTTTTTTCGTAGTCATTTGCATATTTTAGTATTATGCCCCCAAAATCAAATATCCCCTACTTTTTTTGAATAGTATATATGTGTTTGTGGTCGCAGATTCCATTTCTGACATTTCCGACCTTGTAAAATGATCACATGTTCAGATAACTAGCATATTGCGAAGATGGCAGCCATTTTTGGCTTGAAAATGGGACGATGTGCAGATTTTGTTTAAGTAGTAGTGTTTGGTGTCAATATATATGTTTACGGGGTCGTAAATTCCATTTCTGTCATTTACTACCTTGTAAAAGGATCACATGTTCACATATTTAGCGTATTTCCAAGGTGGCGGCCATTTTTGGCGTTTACAGGGATGCAGATTCCATTTTTGACATCTATAACCTTGTAAAATTTAGCGTATTTCCGATATTGCTGCCACATGTGACGAGGAAATCGGACGATGTGCTGATTTTGATTAAGTATTCATCTTTGGGGTAATATATATGTTTTCCGTGGAGCAGATTCGATTTCTGCAATATACTAATATACTACTGCTTAAAATGATTGTATATTCACCAATTTAGCATATTTCCAAATCGGCGGAACGTTTTCTAAACACATTATCATATACTTGTCGTTGTTATTTACAGATTTCTGAATCCAATTCTGCTACATAGGCTATTAGCTTGTAGCCCATTTCTGAAAGCTGGTTTGGTATATTATCCAACGATGAAAATTACTGATCTGAGATGATCACCATTGAGCTGATATCAATTATCCTGGGAAAGAAAGGCCTATTCACTCGGTCTCCTGGCGTGAAGGCAAAGATAGCGTAACGGCAGTGTGGGACTTGTGCCAATAAGCATGGCAAGAAATTGACATGCCCCCTTCATGCTCCTGCTCAAGATCTTACTACGCTTATGGCTAAGCTCTGGCTATGCGCACTGTGTTGCCCCCATGCTCTTGTGGTTAGCCGTCAGACCGGGATACGTTCTTACCACACCCCTGACATGCCTACAAGTTTCTTGATATTTCCTCTTTGGATGCTAGACTGGAGCTAACAGACGAGTCTCAGTACTTTCCCTATTTATACAAAAACGTAACAGCGTAGCAAGCATGTGGCTAGGAGCTTCGTTCCAGCCTGGTTGATGAAGGTAGTGATAATGTGGCTGTAAATAAAATATCTGCTAAGAAGCCCTCATAAGATAGATTGTTATAAACTGACTTCCAAGTTGAATGTGGAACGAGCATGTGGAAAACATAAAGCATGTCACCACTTACACAACGACGTGGCCGGCTAGTTTTACATCACTTCCATCAGTTCTTTCAATAGATGACGATTCACATCGTTGTTTAAGTGGTGATATAGTTTGTTTTTGCACATGCAGCTTGGGGTCAGTTGATAATATAATTTATGCCATGAAGGTTTTTATAGCAAGTATTACTATTTCATTTGCAGTCCTTGTTTTTATATGCCTACATTTTCATGTGGACGTATATTGTCATCTCCTCAGTCCGTCCATCCGTCAGGATGTCTGTCCATCCACAATTTGTTTGTGGACACTCTACAGGTCACATTTCTTATCCGATTTTGACGAAACTTAAAATAAAAAATCTGTGAGTAGGCGAACAGCCCTTCCAGATTTCTCTCAGCTACTAGTTTTGTTCTTATTTGAACTCTTCAGGCTTAAATGAGGATTTGAACTCTTCAGGCTTAAATGAGGATGTGCGGTGGCCCTCTATATATAGTCTCGGTGGGCACCGGAGCACATGTGACGTCACAGATGGACCGGAGTCAATCTTTGGCACCGGAGTCGATTATTCAGAAAAGTGTGCAAAGATATTCGGCTAAGAAATTTGCCGTCATGATTATGCTAATTAGCATTGACTCAAGGCTCCTAACCCTTTTGAACTTTAAGTTTAAACTTTTCTAAACTAGAGAGGGATTAAAAATAACAATATTAGGTTAAGGGCTTGTATGCACTAATTTTTTATTAGTTATCGATGTGGGGGTACAACGGCTAGATTAAATGGGAACTCGTCCCTGTTTTTCATATTCTGCCTTGAGTTAAGCTGAGTATTACGCTACTATTTCGCATACTTTGAAAAGTGGCTCTAGGAAAATCTTTTTTGAATTCAACAAGGAGCTCACGAAGTTGTTTTTGCGTTTCTCTGTTGAAACGTTGTAAAAAAAAACAGTCTTCATTGCTGATGTCTGATTCTGCCAAATCATCGCGATTCAATGTGCGAAAAACTTGCCAGGCCTCTAGTTCGAGACAAGGATCGACTCCTTCACAAAAGGCCTCCCAGTTACTCATGGTTGGGAATGGTATAGGACAAGGCGATCTGTCATATTTTACCTCCGTTGTTTCGGAGACATTGTCCCTAATAGTAGCATCCCTGGTTTTGATGCTATTACTTGAACAACTTTCCTCACATTGAGGGGAAAGATGACCGATGCTTTGTTTCACAGCGGTTTCCAAGATATCGACTTGGTATTTAGTTTTCTGGTGACGGGTAAGATCGTCCAACCTTTTGTAATTTCGGTTGCACGATTTACACCAGAACTTAAGCTGGGTGTGAAAGCTACGGTAGTGCCGCTTCAAGTTGTATGAGCGCGTGAAAATCTCCCTGCAAATTCCACAGATGTGCTTCATTTTCAAAAGTAGGAATAGTAGTGAACGTCCCTATTGTGACGTCACGGGATATCTCTAAGGCCTAGTGCTGGCAGTGTGCCAGGTGTTTTGAGCGGAGTCGATAATACGAGTTCCAAAAGTAAAGGTGCACACGAGAGAAATAGCTAACGGAATTTAAAGATTGTAGTGCAAAGGGGTCAGTGGGGAAAAAGAGTAAACAATAAAGTGGGGGACCCCTCGGGACTCCATCTTATCGTTAATGCCATCCGGTGCGAATGTTCTTAAAGTGTGAATCCATTTGAATTCATTGGCTTTCCTTACGGTATCGTTTTTGCCATTATCTGGGTCAGTCTTAAAAAGCTCTATTATTTTAATCATGACATTCCTACTCGTATGTTTATCTAAGTTGAAGTGTAAAACGACCGGCTACCCACGCAAAGTAGTGTCGGAAAATATGAACAGGGCAAAATCTTTAGCCAGAAAAGACCTGTTAAGCCCGACTACGGCTACAATTCTGAAAAAACGAAAGCCTCTCGTTTTTATCACGGATTATAATCCAACTGCTGTTCAAATTAGCATGCTCATAAAAGAAAAATGGCACTTATTCACGGGATCGGACTTGAGCCGTTCCATCTCAAACATTAGACCAATCACGGCATTTAGGAGGAATCCTAATTTGAAAGATACGCTAATGAAAGCAAGACTAATCTATCCACCACGGGACCCGCAAATTAGCGGAGCCACGGTTCAAAATCTATTCGAAAAATGTATCAAGAAGGATTGTGATATCTGCCACAAATTAGACCAATATAACTACTTCTTTAGTGGTAAAACTGGTAAGAAATATTCCTGCCGCACGGGCTATAATTGTTTAAGTAGAAATATAGTCTACCTATTAACATGCTCTCTCTGCAAAAAACAATACGTAGGAGAAAGCAAACGTACCTTTTCTAAACGGATATAGGAACACTATGCAGATATTAGACACAGCAGGCCAAAGCCGGTCGCTTTACACATCAACTTAGATAAACATACGAGTAGGAATGTCATGATTAAAATAATAGAGCTTTTTAAGACTGACCCAGATAATGGCAAAAACGATGCCGTAAGGAAAGCCAATGAATTCAAATGGATTCACACTTTAAGAACATTCGCACTGGATGGCATTAACGATAAGATGTAGTCCCGAGGGGTCCCCCACTTTATTGTGAAACTTAAAATAGGTTTATCTCGAAAAGATCTTGGTTCCTTTCGATATTGACATGTATTGGATAGAAACTTCATGGGTTATGGCCCCTGATTGTACAAAATATCACGTTTTTAGCTTGTGGACACTCTAGAGGTCACAATTTTCATCTGATTTTGATGAAACTTGAAATGCATGTTTATAACCCAAAGATCTTGGTTCTTTTCGTTATTTGTGCATATCGGATCATACCTTCCTGATGGCATAAATCGAATTTGACCCCCGAAAATATATACTGAGACAAAACAAGACTACTTAATCAAAATCAGCACATCGTCCCACTGTACCGCCACATATGGCAGCCATATTAGAAATATACTAAATATGTGAACGTGTGATCATATTACACAGCTGTAAATGGCAGAAATGGAATCTGCGCTCCGAAAACATATATATTGACACCAAAGAAGACTATTTAATCAATGTCAGCACATTGTCCCATTTTCCTGCCAAAAATGGCTGCCATCTTGGAAATATGCAAAACAGGTGAACATGTGATCATTTTACACTGTTGTAACTGGCAGAAATGGAATCTGTGCCCCTGGAAACATGTATATTGATACCAAAGACGACCACTTAATCCATATCAGCACATCGTCCCATTTTCCCCGCAAAAAAAGGGCTGCCCTTTTGGAAATATGCAAAATAGGTAAACATGTGATCATTTCACACAGTTCTAATTGGCAGAAATGGAAAACATATATATTGACACTAAACACTACAAATTAATGAAAATCGGCATATCGTCAGATTTTCCCGCCAAAAATGGTCGCCATCTTAGAAATATCTTCATGAAGTGATGGGAAAAATTCTAAAATATAGTCACGACCCCTGCCAATATTAATACATTGCCAAATCACAGTTGATATGTCGATAACATTATAAATAAGGTAAAAAAAAAAAAAAAAAATTTGAAAATCATCGCAAAATGGTTACCCTCAAATAATGGCTTCCCATACTATGAAGACCTGTCATAAAACATCAAAACCTTCAAAATAAACCTTATTCCACGATTTCTACCCGAAAAGCCGACGGATGGGAATTATGTAACAAACCGAATCGGATTAATAGCTGCTGTAGGCATATGTACCATAGCTTGTGAATCTATCTTTTTTATTTTTCAGCCATTTACGTGATCTAAGGCATTATGCTATCCATAATAGACCTGTCGATGGATATGTGCATTATTATATCTTTAATGGTGGTTTTATGTCTACATCTGTAGCAGACCTAGTACAACATTACCAAATAGAAGGCCTGAAAGGCCCAGATCCTATGTTGGATGGCAGAAGAGGCAAAAAATGGCAGAAGTTCTCCCATGTGAAATTAAAAGCTCCCATGAAGTCAAAAATTAATGTTAGAAAAAATAATGATTAATGTGTTGTGTATCATTGGCGGTCCACAAAAAGGCATTCACAACAGCTTTAGTGCCTATTTTTTGGTATCTAAATATGCTTGAGATCAGTGATGGGATTTCAAAATTTTACTTGTCGGACATTTTGCCGAAAATAAAGGGGCATAACTCTTATCGTTATTTAAGCAGGCGAATTCGTACCACAATTAAAAGTCACATGTCAAAATATTCAAATCCCGTACGTAATAAAAATAGGTGAACCTCGCTATTTTTCATATTTAATTCCCGTACAGTATTCAATTCATACCACAATTAAAAACCACATGTCAACAAAATATTCAAATCCCGTACGTAATAAAAATTGGTGACCTCGCTATTTTTCACACTTAATTCCCGTACGGCATTCAAATTTATGTCAGTAAATGTCCTACAAGATTAAGCATTTTCATGATATGTTGAATGAAAGCTTGCCGATCCTGCTTCGGCATCAAATTCACAACCATAATATTCCTTTAGAATTACGTGTCTTCGTTTATACGGCAGCAAATGAATGCAGAACTTCCGAAATAGTTAAATCACTTGTAAACAGGCATAGCTAACTTCAGCGAATAACACTCTTTCATAGTCACGACCGAGTGACAGGCATCATAGGCAACACAGCAGAATGATTGACGCCTACAAATACGTTAGAATTTCTGCTCATATAGCTATTGGTAGCCCCTCCCCTTTTTGTTATTTTGCTGGGTGCGTACTAGTCACGGTCACCCAGAAACTCCTAGTCTTCAACATATTCGTAGAATATTTTTCTGGATAATAGAGACTAATAGCCTACGTAACTCATCACACGGCTTCAGAGTAAGCACTGCCTAATAATATGTTAAGCAATATTCGTGCCGCGCTCGAGATCAAGGGAAAGTGCCACCGTGGATGAGAATTTCTATATGGATTCTTAAAAGACGTAAAAGATATCGTAGACAAAATGACTGTCCATTGATTTAGGGTGTTATTTACTCTTACGATATGTGACATCTATGATTAGTTTATTATAGATGATGTCGGCTCACATCAATGCGATTAAGATGCCCGACAAATGAGGTGGATTAAAATTATAATCATTCTTATTGAATTGATGAATAGTCCGACAAAAGGAAAGCAATGACTTCTGTTTAAGATTAGATTGATGAATTGTCCGACAAAGTCAGTCAATCAAGGCAGATTAAGTAGTTAAATCAAGGTAAGTTTATACTATAGACGGTATAACACGATAAATACGTTGATCACTTAATTACCTAATAAACCCAGCGTATTATCGCCGATAATCGGGTTGAGTGGTAGTTATACACTCAGTAAACTATATTAATTTCGGAATTTTGAATATTATTCACCATGTCTTGATGTCCGATTGGGCATATTCCCGGTCGGACAATTTTGGGCGTTTGGAAAAAAGATTCGGACAAGTCCGGAATATACGGGCAAAATCCCATCACTGCTTGAGATGATACTGAACAATAAAAAATGGATGAAAATCCAATTCCAAAATAATGACTTTGGAATTTGGAAAAATATCAAGAAACTGTATCATTCACCACTGTGCAGCTACAGGGTAAACAACACAAAAGAAGCCTTGATGGCTTAGATTTTGGCTGTTGTGTTTTCATCAATTTTTAGGACGCTCCATATGAAAAATGTTGATATTAAAAGAAGTGACGGTTATTGTAAAGGTCAATGTCTATAATATTATGATATACCACCTGATTTATCCATAATTGTGATAGTATAAGTAAAAAAAGTAGCCTACATACTGCATCTTTGTTTACCTTTCATTGTTATTCTGATATGAATTAATTTTATTCTGTAGTTGTTTAAAGATACATTATGGGAGATTCGATAACGAGTTGGCAGTTTTCACTATAATAATTAAAAACTAGATAACGTAAAGGCAATTTGCTGAAAATTTCATTCAAATTGATCCACTATGAAACGAGAACTAAGCGAATGAAATTTCTGCCTAGCCTCGGTCATCATTACTAAAGTCAGTATGTTAAACAGCATAGTCTCGATTATCCATTAAATCGTTTAATCGAGAAGGAAAGTTATGCAGTAAATCGGATCACAATCTACTTAAGATTGCAGGCTAGCGATGCCATCTAGAGTTGATTATGGTCTGGATAAGTTAATTAATGTCTAATTAATAATTTAGATAACATTTCAGGCCTAAAGAAAGACCTGCAATAGACAGATTTAGCTCTTGCATAATGTATGTTTAAATTAAATATTTAAAAAGTTTTATTTTAAATTAACACTAACAGAAAAAAAAAATGTTTACGTTTTTAAAACGGTGAAGTGCTTTATTACTAAACGAAATACGGCGTAATTGTGTGTATGTAAATGAAACCTTACATATCAATATAATGTTTTGGCAAATGTTGGCAGTTTAATGATTATTTGCATCGCTATTTGGTGCAGAACACTTCGTAGCTATAATGGAATTAATAGTTTTTATACGCCCACATTTTCATGTGAACGTATATTGTCGTCGCCCCTGTCCGTCCGTCCACAATTTGTCTGTGGACACTCTACAGGTCACAATTCTTATCCGATTTTGACGAAACTTGAAATATAGGTTTATCTCCAAAAGATCTCGCTTCCTTTCGATATTGGCATGTATTGGATCGAAACTTCATGGATTATGGCCCCTGTTTGTACGAAAAATCACGTTTTTAGCTTGTGGACACTATAGAGGTCACAATTTTTATCTGATTTTGTTGAAACTTGAAATCTAAGTTGATAATCCAAAGATATCGGTTCCTTTCAATATTCGCGCATATCGGACCGTAACTTCCTGAATTATGGCCCCTGATTGTTCGAAAAATCGCGTTTTTAGCTAGTGGACCCTATAGAGGTCATAATTTTTATCCGATTTAAAAAAACAGATTATTATATCACCGTTACACCCTAAAGATGGCTGAGTTCGAATTTCGTGAAAATCGGCCCAAGATTGACAGACAAAATGGCCGCCCTTCGTTCTCAAATAGCGTAAAAATATGGTATATCAAGGTTGTGGACCCTATAGAGGTCACAATTTTTATCCGATTTTGTTGAAACTTGAAATGTAAGTTTATAACACAAAGATCTCAGTTCGTCTCGACATTCGCGCACATCGGACTATAACTTCCTGAATTATGGCCCCTGATTGTACGAAAAATCGCGTTTTTAGCTAGTGGACCCTATAGAGGTCATAATTTTTATCCGATTTAAAAAACCAGATTATTATATCACCGTTACACCCTAAAGATGGCTGAGTTCGAATTTCGTGAAAATCGGCCCAAAATTGACAGACAAAATGGCCGCCCTTCGTTCTCAAATAGCGTAAAAATATGGTATATCAAGGTTGTGGACCCTATAGAGGTCACAATTTTTATCCGATTTTGTTGAAACTTGAAATGTAAGTTTATAACACAAAGATCTCAGTTCGTCTCGACATTCGCGCATATCGGACTATAACTTCCTGAATTATGGCCCCTGATTGTGCGAAAAATCGTGTTTTTAGCTTGTGGACCCTATAGAGGTCATAATTTTTATCCGATTTAAAAAACCGTATAATTATATCACCGTTACACCATAAGGCCGACGATCGAATTGTAATTTCCTGAATTATGGCCCTTGATTGTAGGAAAATTCACTTTCTTTTTAGCTTATTCTCTATCCATCTCTCGAAAATGTGGGCGTATTCTGCCTGGCAGCCGCTGGTTTCATAATTGATAAAAATAAACCTATAGTAGACACTTTAGAAAAAATCAATAAAAAAGTTAATGCAAAAACAATAGAAACGTTCGATTTTTCTACTTTGTATACTATTCTTCAACATGCAGATCTTAAAGATAATTTGGATTGGTTTGTAGATAAAGCCTTTAATGGAGCTTTAGGGAAAGGCAGAAACTTGATGGCCATTTTTGCAGAAGATGCTAAATGGACTATAAAACGTCGCAATGCCAACACTGTAGATTTTGATAAAGAAAAATTTCAAAACATCATACATTTCCTTATTGACAATGCTATATTTGAGGTTGGGGATCAGATAATACAGCAAACTATTGGTTTACCAATGGGAACTGACCCTGTCCCATTTATGGCCAATGCACATTTATATAAATATAAATTTGATTTTCAAGACCATAAAAGAAAAACAGATTACAAAGTAGCTAAAAGTCTAAATGATACCTTCCGATACATTGATGACATAACACCTATCAATGGTAACAGAAATTTCAACAAATATAAAAGTGAAATATATCCTCCTGAACCAATATTAAATAAAGAAAATACCGGCACTGTAAATGCATCTGTTCTTGACCTGGACATCAATATAATTAATAATAAATTTAATGTCAGTATTTTTGACAAAACAGACAAATTTGGTTTTGAAGTAGTAAAATACCTGTCAATCTTTAGTAACATACCAGATACCACGCTATATAGTGTTTTCTATTCACAGGCATTACGATTTTTGAAAAAATGTAACAATATAGAACTATTTCTTTTTCGAATAAAATCCTTACTTTAAATGCATTGCCAAAGGCGGCACACAATTGCGCATTTTAAAAGAAATTTCAAAACTTCCATTTCTTCAACATACCAAGTTTGACATTTCTTATAAGTATATAACCGACTACATATTGGATAATGATCCCAGTCAAATTTTATCTTGATTTTCTGTAGTTACCTAACCCTGTCTGAGTTATCCCCCTTATTGTTATGCCTTTATAAATACACTTACATAGTACGATTTCTTTAGCATACCTGTTTTGCATTTCTTGTGTGGGATATTAATTTAATATTATAAATTGTACAATTACATAACTTAATAATTCTGATTGGTCGCTAAAACTTATAGTTTATTAAGCTTTTAACGTTATTTTATCTGGATTATCGCCCTTTTTATTGTGATTTTTTATCACCTTCTAAGTTATGACGTCGTTATCACTCAGTCAGCAGACGGCTGTCTTTCAGGACAGTCTACATTTCCTATTCGCTTCTTTGTATTCAGTTTTGCTTTTGTGATGTACCCTATATCATGTATTCAATATACCTCGATTCCATTGAATACTGAAACGTTTCATGAATGATTTATATTTAGACTATTTTGTACATTTCACCGATGTGATTACTTGTATAGTTGAATTTTACTACATATGCTTGCATTCATATTTCTTGTGGCATATAGCAGATCATGAGTCATGCTGGCATTATACAATGGTTTCTTTGGGTTGCATTCCTTATTGTTTTCAAATTTGAGTGAAGTCTGTGTCACTACAGACCCGGGACTGTACAGCGTAGTGGACGCTTACGGCTAGCCCCCGAATCCATTCACTTTTTTATACGCCCACATTTTCATGTGGACGTATATTTTTTTCGCCCCTGTCCGTCCACAATTTTTTTGTGGACACTCTACAGGTCACAATTCTTATCCGATTTTGACGAAACTTGAAATATAGGTTTATCTCCAAAAGATCTCGGTTCCTTTCGATATTGGCATGTATCGGATTGAAACTTCATGGATTATGGCCCCTGTTTGTACGAAAAATCACCTTTTTAGCTTGTGGACCCTATAGATGTCACAATTTTTATCAGTTTTTGTTGAAACTTGAAATATAAGTTTATAACCCAATGATCTCGATATTTGCGCATATCGGACTGTAACTTCCTGAATTATGGCCCCTGATTGTACGAAAAATCGCGATTTTAGATTGTGGGTCCTATAGAAGTCATAATTTTTATCTGATTTAAAAAAACGTATTATTATATCACCGTTACACCCTACCCACATAACAATATGATGTTAATTTTACGTTACATTTACGTAAAAATGGTCAGTCAGTTTACCATCATTTTGCTCATCTTTTTAACGCTATGGCCTACTCTTATATCAAGTTCTAACTACCAAGGGATCTTTCATGTGCACTCCTGTGTGTACACGTGACCTCAGTTTTTTATCCCTGACTAGACAGCTGTTCTTGTCAGGCCCTCCGTCCTGTATCACTGACAAGGGGAAAACATGCAGGAAAATCTGGATGAACTTTCTCAGCCAATGCAGGGATCGAACACCCGACCTCCAGGCTAGCGAGTCAGCGTCTTACCCACTTAGCCAACGTGATCCCCATGTTATTCGAGAAAGTTCCCTTTGTTAGTAGTGGTGTAGGACAGAGGACCTCAAAAAAACAGTGTCTAGTCCATCACATGGTTGTGCACGTAAAAGAACCCTTGACATTTGGAATTTGCAATGAGAGTAGATCATTCATTCATTCGTTTTCTCTTTGTGTGTCACCAACAGACCGCAACTATTAAAGGAGCTAGGTCTCTATTCTTGGGCACTTAGAAATGGATACAAAATGTAATGAAATGAAATGGGGTTTATAGTCCAACTGTTCTGCTCCGAACTGGGCTAATGAAGATGGCCATACACCATACAGTGTGTTATGAGCGACATTTTGCCCCGACAGTGGCACTACGGCCTACTCTTATATCGAATTCCAACTGTCAAGGGATCTTTTACATGCATGCCAATGTGTACACGGGACCTCGGTTTTTTATCCCATCTGAACAACTAGACAGCTGTCCTTGTCAGGCTCTCCGTCCTGCATCGCTGACAAGCGGAAACCACGCCGGAAATCTAGATGAACTTTCTCGGCCAATGCAGGGATCGAACACCTGACCTCCAGGCTAGCGAGCCAGGGTCTTACCCATTTTTGTCCCATTTTAATGACTAGACAGCTGTCTTGTCAGGCCCTTAATTGTTAGTATCATGACATTAAACTGACATTTGTTTTACGTTTTACAACTAATATCAGGTTTATGTTAGAAAACTAACGTTAGATTTATGTTAGAAAACTAAAGTTAGATTTATGTTAGAAAACTAAAGTTAGATTTATGTTATAAAATTAACATTAGATTTACGTTAGAAAACTAACGTTAAATTAACGGTTAAAATTATGACATAAAACTAACATTACATTTACGTTAGAAAACTAACATTATATTAACGTTAGAAAACTAACGTTAGATTTACGTCAGAAAACTAACGTTAGATTTACGTCAGAAAACTAACGTTAGATTTACGTCAGAAAACTAACCATAAACTAACGGTTAGAAACCTGATGTAAAATTTACGTTAGATTAACGTTAGAATTATAACCAATAATACATATATAATTATTATGTCTGAATTCCGACTATATATCAATTGTTAGAATGTGCACACACTTGTAATGTTATTTAATCAAGAAGTATTCAAAGGGAAAAAAATTGGTTAGTAATCCGTCATAATGTTTACGTTACATTTACGTCATTTTCTGACGTAAAAGTAACCATAACCATTATGACGTAAAAGTAACGTAAATTTAACCAAAGAATTTTACCATTATTGGACGCTAACCAAAATCTAACCATAATGACGTAAACTTTACGTAAATCTAACCATCAATGTTAACTGGGTAAGGACGACTGAGTTCGAATTTCGTGAAAATTTGTGACCCTGAAACACTCCCCCACGAAGTACAACACCTTACAGACGTTTTCACCAAACACAATGGGTATCCGATACAGATGGTCAAAAAGATTATTAATTCCACACTATCCGACCTACCAAAACCAGATAAACTAAAACCTGATAAAGCCCCTATACGAGTGTTTATACCCTTCCACGGAAACATCTCCCACCAAATTAGAAGATTATTAAAACAAGAAGCGCAGATAGAAACCACATATCTGAAAGGCAAGACAACCAAGGAATTAATAAAAGCAAATGGTAAGATAACCCCCACCAAACCCATCTCCCCAAAAGGGTGTGTTTACCAAGTCATCTGCAGCTGTGGGGAATCATACATTGGAGAATCGAAGAGGCCCTTAGACATCAGAATTAAAGAACACATGTCGAAAACACCCACCAACCAATCTGCCATTGCCGAACACCTTATTGAAAACCTGCGCCACCGAGTGAACTGGACAAACGTCAAAAAGGTAGCTGTTAATTGCCACAACAAACGAAACCGAAGAACCCATGAAGCTATTAATATACGCAGGCATGAACCAAAACTAAACAGGGACCCAGGAATTTACATTCCAAGAGCGTATGATCACATCATTAAAATGTAGTTTACATTGTCTCTGAACTATCCTTTAATTTTAATATTTGTATTGCTTTTAACTTTGTACATTTCCTCAAATCAATTAAAATTTGCTTTACTGCATATTGCCTTCACTGTTAGGATTAACTGCTTATGGCTTCAGTCCACCCCTATAATACTTGTCCTTTCATCTTTTATTATTACTTTCATCTATAACTAATTACTGTATATATATATATATATATATTTATTTAATATGTTTTTACAGTCAGGACCTGTTGCTCATGGCTCATTATACCTGCTAATAATTGTTTGATCCTTTGGCTTCATTCCTGCACTTATCTATACCAATTACAGTTTATAACCATCTATGTTTACTTAACGGCTTGGGACAGTTGCTCATGCTTGCTGATTTTGCATCCCATTGGAGGGTTCGCACTGCTCGTGTATATATATATAGCCATTTTGTTTTCATTTTATTTATTTGTGTTATATGCTTGATAACGACTTGTGAAATCTTGTTGAAACGTCGCAGTGAAATAAACCACAGTAATTGTTATCCATAAATAGTGTGTTATTTGAGCGTAAAAATATGGTATATCAAGGTTGTGGACCCTATAGAGGTCACAATTTTTATCCGATTTTGTTGAAACTTGAAATGTAAGTTTATAACCCAAAGATCTCGGTTCCTTTCGATATTCGCGTGG